TATTAATTATATTCATTTAATAAATCCATAGAAAAAACACTGAATGAAAAATATTTTTAGTCCAAAAACAAAAAAAAACAAAAAAGAAACTACATATTTGCTTGAATAAAATTTGTCATCTCATGGCAACGTGTATTAATGTATTTGAGTATAAAATATCCAAAATCTGATGAACGGAGTGTGCAATTTCATATGGAACACACCCCACGTTTAGGTATAATAAGATGATGTAATAGGACTTTCCAGTTGAAAGAATGAAATCAGAACAAGAACATGATCAATAAGAGAGAGAGAGAGAGAGAGAGAGAGAGAGAGAGAGAGAGAACCACCATTATTCTTCGTACCTTTAACTTCAATTCGAGACATATCAAATTTGTTCATGGTCCGATTAGTTTCGATTCTTTCTAACCTTCGGATACGATAAATCGAACAGAATGGCGTCGAGACGTGAAGCTTTCCCGACGTGTTCGATTTTCAATCGTGTGCCATAGTATAAAAGACAAGCGTTAGAAATAAAATGGCTAGCTGGTTTGGTGATAAACCCCAGCATACATACATGTATACTCGCTTGTTGTCCTTTACAAAGATAAGTCAAATTTACGTTGCACCACCACCACCAACAACAATCGATCGTTTTTCTTCTATTTGTCTTCGATTTCATATAAAGGGAAAAAGATTTGACATAACAAAAAAAAGAAAAAATATATATTCGAGATAGAAATGAGAAAGAGAAAACAATGGAAAAACAAGAACACAATTTCTATTGCCAAATTTTAATTAGAAACAAACAAACCATGCCTTATTTCCAACCCCATAAGAAAACAATTAACAAAAAAGTATGTAAAAATTACGTCCCCATTAGTTATGCTAAAGAAAACATTAATATGGTATTCTTTTAATACTATCATCCATGGTAATTTAAAACTGTATTTGAAAACTAATAGAAATAGTAATGGAAAATGGATTCTCCTTTTTTGTTTTATAGAGGAAGGAAAATAAAAAAATAAGAATAAAAGGAATAAAAGGGAGGGAGAAAAAGGAAGAATGAGATTGAGTGTATGAGAGAGAGAGAGAGATCGAACATTCAAAGCTGTCTACCATTGTTCACAGGAGTTACAAAGGAGATTGGATCAGACCCTGGGTAAGCCTGGCAGCTACCTGGCAGGAATCGACCGGGCTGGCAACGTGAAACCCATGACGATCGGCGCACGCCTTTATCGAGTCGAACAGCAGGTGAATTTAACACACACACACACACACACATACACACTAATCTTATATATTTATTTATATAATCAGTTGTTTTTCTCGTCTAAAAATAAAATTCTTAATAATAAGGGTATCATCGAGAAATTTGGATATCAAAAAAAGAAGTAGAACTTAAATTTTATTAAGTTGGACGTTTTCTCCCTTACGGGGTTACATGGGTTTAGGACTTTCAAAAAAAATTTATTTTTTTTTATTTTTTTTTTCAATTCTACAACTCATCTAAAATATTGTATTGAATTTTGAAGTCGATAGGAGTAGTAGTTTAAAAGATAGAGCCTTGAGAAGCACTCAAATCTTTAAATGGGGTTTTCTTAAAACGCTTTTTCTAAAGTCGGTTGTCAAGAGATTTCTCGAAAACTATTTACCTGATTTTCATGAAATTTGCTACACGTCTTCGTGATACTATTGACAAGGACTTGGACGAAGGATTTTCGTTTTTTTCATAAAATCGAATTTTAAGAAACCAAAATGTGGTGCAAATTGTAGCGGAATTTGAATGTTCTTGCTAAAAACGTTGCCAAAAATCCAAATTTTCATTTTTTTTTCTTTTTCCTTCGTCCAGTTTCTAGTTTTAAGTATTCACTAAAAGATCCTATTTTTTCCAACAGAAAAATCCCCACCGTTTAAAAGTTCTGCTGTCAACGCGAAAACACTTTATTTTCGGTGGGGCTCACCACCGGAAATGACGTCGCAATAACTCTGAGTTTAAAATATTTTTCAACGAAAAATTCAGAAAATGTTCTTTAAATATGTATCTTAAATACTATAAAAAGTTTCAATAAGAATTCCATTTTTTATATATAGAAAAGAAAAAATTGTTGAAAATATGCTATTATTTCCCGGTGTAAACCCATGTAACCCCTTAAGTAGACATACATTTTTATTTTTATTTTTAACATACGAAACACAAAACATCTACACATCGTTGAGTATCAATCCGTTATATATTATTATTTAAATATTTATAAATGAACGATTTATATTTCGAAATATTAAATCATTGAACAACATTTTGCCAATCCTTAACAATATTCTTTAGAACAAATTACTTGTGTTTTTCTTATAAGTGATGTGTACTCATTCGTGAATTGGTGTATTAAAAAATAAAAAATAGTGAGTGAGAGAGAGAGAGAGAGAGTGGGGGATGGGAGTGAGAGGGATGTGATGTACGTCCATCCATCTTGATTCCAACAATTTCCCAGTAGAATTCCTGAAGGTTCTCGTTAATGTTCTCCCCTGCCATGACGAAAGTTACACGGCGGTAGAAGCTTTCCGTTAATTACCACGCCAATCCTTTCCACCCTTCCATTTCCCCATCCTCCCCCTCCCCCTCCCCCTCCTTCTCCATTTCATTGTCGATCCCTTTCCAAAAAGTCACTCGTTCGTTCTTTCGTCCTTTGTGGGAGAACTTTTAATCGAGGAAGGACAATGTTCGACGCGTATAAAACACTTCTTACTTTCATATTCTTTTCTTTAAATATATATATATATATATGTTCTATAATTCTTATCTTTCCTTTATTAATTATTCACTTTTATTCAGAACGAACTAATGCTTCAGGTATATATCTATTTTAAAATCAACCCCCTTTTAATAATTTATATATTTCATATAGAGAGACATTAATCCTTTAAATAATTAAACGAAATTGTGAATAATTTCTTATCAAGATTTGTGTATTTTTATATCCATTACTTTTCAACGTTTGCAATAATACCCCGAGACATTATCATTACGCAAGTTAAAATGACAAATAAATGTTTAATTATACGTTGACGAACGCACACAACACTTTCTTTTTCGATTCAGCATCGATAAACCAAATTACGTGTTATTACGATCAAAATATTATATAATCGTGGTTATAATGTTTTATATAATTATAATATTGTTTGATCGTTGATAAAAACATAATGAAAAAAAAAAAAAACAAAAAAAATCTCAATGTAATTCTCATTTTAATAACGAAAAATCGTGCATTCTTTTTTTATTCCTATTTTTTTTTTCGGTTATTCTCTCTACGATCATTATCGTGCAACAAATCTATAACAATAACGAGAATGCATCTAAACATTGTACTAATATCAAGCCGTGTTCTGATTGCAGTTGTCGGTGATGGATAAAAAATTGGACCAACTGGTATACGTGCTGAATGCGGTTGCTCAGAAACAACAAATCCCTCTGAGGAGTATAGAGGATGATGTGTAACAGAAAGCCCCGGGCGAATTCGTGGCACCCTTTTTACGGGTATCGATGACGACCCCATGGATATTGCCAAGAGTGACCATAACCACCGTTGTACCTAACATGCTTAGCGAGAGCAGCTGACTCGAGACGTTATTATATCGATAAAACGTAATATTATTATTATTATTCAAAATAGCATCGGCTATTGGGAGGACAAATTTTATCGATTGATTTACTTTTTTTTACTTTTTTTTTTGTGCTGATACACACATATAAATATATATTTATTTATTTATTTTATTTTATTTCTTTCTTTCTTGGGGGTTTTGTTTTTTTTTCGTTCTATACTTCCTATCGCGAACAAAGTTAAATAAAAACAAAAAAAGGAGAATGAAGAAAGAAGAAAATCCAGAAGCTCGTCGATGTTCGACCTCTCCTCTCGAAACGAACGAATACATCACCGTTTCGTTCAATTTACGAGATGAACGTTTTTATTATGTGAAACGTATATAATAAAAATAAAATAAAAAAAACAAACAAAGGAAAAATAAAATCTAAAAAGGGGAAAGGAACAATGAGAAGAGAAATATAAGAAATGATATTTGAGCTTTACGATACACGCACAGGAGACAGTTTAATTGTATTTGTATATAAGTATATATATGACTAAGCAAAAAGGTTCCCAAGGGTTGACAAAAATCAGAGAGAGAGAAAAAGAGAGAGAGAGTGAGAGCGAGAGAGAGAGAGAGGGGGGTTAGGAAGAAGATGACGTTGATTTTCTACGATTGATTACAATATTATTTTTGAAAATATAATATATTGTTTATGATATAATCTAAATCTACGCGTATAATGA